AATGGTATCATAGTGTATCCCCCATATCTAAAGCGAGAGGAGTGTCCATTGCCATTTGCAAATCTTGCCCTTTTTCCCTACAGTCTGCATTAACCTAGAATGCCATTTGCTATTCTCAAGGGGTTGATTTATGGTCATAAGTACACCTTTGCCACAATTTATGCCTCAAACTCCTGTGCTATCAATATCCTTTTGACTACTCTAAAGCAATTGCTAACTTTCAAAGAAGGTATGGTAATTCTTGGAGGTGACTTTATTATTACTCTAGATCCTTCCCTAAACACCTCATCGGGTAAAACTTTGTTCTCCTTCCGGGCACTTAAACATGTCAAGAAGCTTCTGCACGATTTACATCTGGTGGACAGCTGGAGGATATCTCATGCCCGGGTCAAAGACTTCAGTTATTACTCAAAGATGTTTGATACTTATTCCGGTCTTGATCTTATCTTTGTGGATCGATTTTACTTAAGCAATGCTCTTTTTTCTTCCATAGATCAGTTACGATATCAGACCATTCCCGTGACAATTTCCATCTGTCCCCCGACTGCCCACCAGATGGAGAGAGTATGGAGACTGAATGATAATCTTTTAGATGACCGCATTATAGTGGCAGCTGTGACAACTTCTTTGCAGTCCTACTTTGCAACCAACTCATCCGGGGAGGTTTCTACACACTGCTTTATAGGAAGTTCATAACGCAGTGATCAGAGGGGAATAGATTGCCCATGGTTCCAGACCTAAGAAAGAGAAGCAGAAGGAGAAAGCGGACTTGTTAGCTCAGATCCATCTTTTAGAAATTAAACATAAGGCCTATTTTACCACAGTAGACTCTCAGCAGCTGGAGGCTTTGTGCACGTCTTTATCTCAGAGCCTAGACTGTAGGGCCCGCAACAAGCTTAGATTTTATGCCCAACCGTTTTTTTGAACACGGGAATAAGTGTGGCCACCTTATGGCCAGATAGTTGAGAAAACGACAAGCACTATGTCACATTCTTAGCCTGACAGTACAGGGTAAACAAATAGTGGACACGTGGTCAATTTCCGATGCGTTTCAGAATTTTTACGCTTCCCGCCCAGCTCCCCTATTGAGAATGATATGACCCAGATTGCTGAGACTCGAGCTTACTTACCTCCCATTGAGCAAAAGTCCAGGACGGTACAGGTTTTCTGGTCAATACTATAAAACATTCTTCTCCATTCTGGCTGAGCCCTATGTCATTATTTCAATTCCTTTACCTCTGCTAACCCCCTGCCTCCGGAGGCAATTTTGGCCTATATCACGGTGCTTCTGAAGCCAGGGAAAGACCCCCAATTTTGTGCTAACTACAGACCAATATCATTGTGAACTCTGACATCTTGGCTGTTTGACTTCATGATCATGTATCGGCCCTTGTACACACAGACCAAACGAACTTCATGCTAGGCCACGAGGCCAGAGATAAAAACCATCCGTTCCTTACATATCTTACATTGGGTCCAACATGGTCCTGCTCAAATATCCAGTGTGGTCCTGATGGATGCCGAAAAAGGCATTCGACAGGCTGAATTGGACTTATATGCTGGAAACTCATAAATTGGGGCTTGGTAAACAGATGTTGGGCTGGATTTGGGCTATGTACGAGAAACCCAGGGCTCAGTTGAAGGTAAATGGCTCGCTGTCTGACTACTTTAGTCTTGGTAATGGGACTCGGCTATTTGCCCTTGTCCTGGAACCCTTCCTACGACAAATCCGTAGTAATAGGCACATTGAGGGGATCAATATTGGTTCTACTAAACACAAATGGTAGGCCTACGCTGATGATCTCCTTTTTTACCTCTCCCATTCCCAAACTTCCCTTCCAGTCCTCATGGACGAACCTCGTAAATTTGGCCTATTGTCCAATTTCAAAATTAATTATAATAAATCTTTATTCTGTCTATCTATGTTTCCTCTCCCATGATGTAGTCCCTACATCTCACTTTCCCTTTCGTGTGGAAAAAGGGATCTTTGCAGTATTTGGGGAATCACATCTTCCCGGACCCAAAACTTCTTTATGAACTCAATTATAGGGCCTTGCTGGACAGAGTGGTGGGGGACCCGACACTGTGGTAGACCTATCCATTGACATGATCTGGGAGGGTAAATACACTTAAAATGACGATCCTTCCTTGATTTATGTATTTATTGTATGCGATGCCAATTTCACTGCCTTACTTATTCTTCAAATGTACCCTGGGCCTTTTTTACTTTTATATGGCATGGGAAATGACCGAGGTTATCTTATGATTTGTTGCGTAGACATAAGTTGGATGGTGGGATTGGTGTTCCAGACATCGCCTTGTATTACCAAGGCCATGACTCTAGTGCATATTTTGAACTGGCGCCATGATATCTCCAATTCGGGTCCCCTTGGAGAAATCAATGGCTGGTAAAGACCTGGCGGGGGGCCCCGTGGCTCCCTGCAGCCTCTAGAGGCCTTTCAGACTGAACTTCCCCATTGACGTGGAACACCTTGGTGGTCTGGGACAGAATGAACTTGACTGCTGACCTAGCCCCAATGACATCTCCGCTGGCGCCCTTGGGGGGTTTTCCTTGGTTCCCTCCTGGGGAAGATCTTAAATTTTTTCGCTCTTGGGTACATATCTTGCGCAAAAATTTGCTCCTCTTGGTAAATTATTGCCCTTGACTATGCTTTGGGCCTCATATGAAAACTTGCCACTCTCAGGCTGGAGATACAAGCAGTTATCGGACTTCTTTAGCAAGTTAGCACCGAAGTTGAGACCGAGGATGCTCTCTCGCCATTCAAATCTGTTTCTTGGAAATCTGTGTATTTGCTGTTTTCAGCCAGATATGAGTGCATTTCATATATACATGAATTATCCATTCTTTAAATAAAATACTGCACTATCAAGTACCTTCTTGGCTTGTTATTCCACGAGCCTTCCAGGGTGGATACCACTACATGCCTTGAGGGTCCCTTTCCATTTGGTCATGTACATGTGAGGAGATGTCCTTGGAAAGTGTGCGTAGGATCCGCTAATCTACTTGTATGCTGACGTGTGCCAGATGATTGCCTAGGTCCTGTCAACATCCAGATGACCATGATGGGTTATACCATTTACACAAAAGCGCAAAAAGATTGCGCTTCTGGTTAGTGTGTTCACATTACCATTCCGTAAGCACTCACGGAATTGACGGAATTGGATTATCACTTCAGTGGACTTCATAGTCATCACCATAGTCACATGACTATAGTACATTTATTATTGGATAGCATTTACAGTATTTACGTCACATTTGGACGATTCACGTGATTTCACCTTTATGCCTATAGGCGCCTGCACATATCTTCACTTGTATAATTTTAGTGCTGCATCCCTGTTTTATCAGACTTTTTAGAGGGTTGGAGGTTTACCTTGATGCTAGCAGCTTTATACCTTGCTCTCGTTTATATCCTATGTTTATAAGTTCATGACTATGTTGAGGCTGATGTGGGATTCAAAATGGGCGTAGTATAAAGTATTACTGTGTTGAAGCCTTGCACCACTGGCAAAAGTTTGTTGTTTTTTTGTACCTCATTTGTGGTAGTAGGGTTTTGTTTTTATTTTTACAATTTATTTATTTTTTTTTTGTTTTCTTTTATATTTATATTGTTCAAGACGTGTATAATACCTATACTGAACCTTTTTGATTCTGCAGGATAGTGCCCCTGCGTGGGCAAAATGTGCGTGTCTGCCCACTTTATGTGTCTTATGCACTACTTAGTGCAAAATATTAAAACAGATTTACTAAAAAAAAAACCTGGGAGGGCTGCTAATACACAGATTAACTGATCTTCTAAACCAGACCAAACCAGAATAATTTGTAGTCTATCCCCACCCAGATTTATAGGAAACCTGTCTGTAAGAAATGCATGTTACTGATAATTTTCTGATAAACCTAGTTGTCTGGCTGTCATTTGCTTTTACAACTTTTGAGTTGCTAACCAGATCAAGTGTGCAGTCAGTAAAATCAGAGTGATGCCAGAACTACAGATCTGCATAATCAAAGTCGTTGGACAAGAATGTCAGGCAAAAATTTGGTACCAAATGTTTAAGCTCCCCATACACTGTACAAATTTTGGCTTGTTTCTAATGAACCAGCCACAGTTTGCTTAGTGGATGGCCCTGTTTTCCCACTCCTGGTCCAAAATCCTTGTATTTAAAACCATAGGAGCCTGGGTGGAAAATTGTTGGCCAAAGATCAGCTGCACCCAATTAGGTCAAAATACAACAGCTGCAGAGGGAGATTTATCCATCAGTGCTGTATAGTGTGGATGGGGGGATCTTTTACATTTTTTTTTTTTGTTCAGACTGCAAAAACAGTGTGTGCCCAGCTTTACTTAACCCTTCCTGTCTGGACACTTTTACCAGCTTCCTGTCCAGGCCAATTTTCAGCTTTCGGTGCTATCAAACTTTGAATGGCAATGTGCGGTCATGCAACACTGTACCCATATGAATTTTTTAGCATTCTTTTAGACAGATAAAGCTTTATTTTGGTGGTATTTATTCACCACTGGGATTTTTATTTTTTTTGCTATGTAAATTAAAAAGTCCAAAATTTTTGAAAAAAAAAAAGTGTTTTTCTTATAAAATTTTGCAAATAAATATTATTTCATCATAAATCTTGGCCAAAATTTATTCCGTTATATTTTTAGTAAAAAAAATAACCCAAATTAATTTATAACCAAAAATTATAATTTTTAAACATTTTTTTTATTTTTTTTTATTATTTATTTATTTTTTTCTACATACTGTCACCCTAGCAGTACAGTGTCACCATGGTGACACTGTACTACTTGTGGGGGGTGATGAAGATTTTTTATTTTTACACTGATTGCTTTTACACCCATGAAGGATGTAAAAGCAATCATTTCTCCTCTCTAGCTGCATTCTTGCAGCCATTGAGAACTACTGAGTGAGCTGTGATTAGTCACAGCTTGTCACATGGTACAAGGCTGTTGTGAATAGCTGTGTACCATGTGATCATTCACAGATTTCACACGTAGTAAGCAATGATATCACAAGTGACATCTTGCTTACTACTCTGCATGTGATCACTGATTGGCTAATCAGTGATCACATGATCGGGACCTCGCACAGAGGTCCCGTCCGACGATTGGTGTTTCACTGTGTCCGGAGGACACAGCAGACACCAGATCGCGGTGGTGCGCACTCCCAGGGAGTACGCACAAGCAGGGTGCGTGGAGGCTGCTTATAAACGGCCACCCCCTGACCCTGCACTGCCACCGTCCGGCCGTTTATATACAACAGCCGGATGGGAGGTGGTTAACTACCATGCTTAATTTAATCATGTGGAGCTCATCTCCATCATGTGACATTGTTCAGGTCTAGTGATTGGCTGCTAGTGTGAAGAACTACATCATGGTCCCCATACCCAGAGGGGCTGAGCTTTTTGCAATGGAAAAGTGGTGTGGGAGTAAGGGAAAGGTGAATTACTTTATGGTCACTGGGGCCTATGTTTATATATTTCCAATAATGGCTTAGGAAAATGGAGAGCCCAAGTAATCTTGGCCTACTGACATTCTACTCCACCGGTCTTTTGATTACCAAAAGATTTTTATGGATTAAAACCCATAAACATGTGCACTCAAAATCTTGCCTGTTTATGAAAGGAGAAGTGGAGGTAATAGAAGGAAAACACCCCTCAAACAAACAGTCCAATCAGGCTCATCAATTTTCCCACCAAGCCAAAGAGGTATATGAAATTGTAGTGAGCCTATCTATATAACTGTTTAAAGTGGTAGTAAACTCTGGCATTAAAAAAAAGGAAAAAAAAAAAACAATACCCTGCAAAGCAATGACATAATGTGATAATATACATCACATACTAGCACATTACGAAAGAATTACCTTAAAAGATAAGTTCATTTTTGACAAAAATTAAAAAAATGTGCACCTATTTTTTGTTGCAGGAGCCTGTAAAGCACTGCATCAGCAATCAGCAGTTCACTTATGCCATGCAGACCTCCTGCAGACCTGTCAGTATATCTGTGTGCTCGTATATCCAATACGGTCAATCAGATACACTGACAGGAAGAATCAAACTACTGGTGCTCCACAGAGCCATGGTAGTTTGTTGAAAACTACTAGCTGACATCCGCAAAAGATGTTGGTACTTGTAGTTCAATCATTCATAAAACTCTGTGAATGAATAAAACAGCTGTGTGGGCAAAGCCCTGCTGTTTTTAAAAAGTGACAGCAAATATGGGGAACCCTTTCCTGTACTGCGTCACGGGGGGGGGGGGGGGGGGGGGGGATAGTGCAGCTGCTGCAGTATTGACACATGCTCCACCCTAAAAATGGGTGGAACATGTAACGTTTTCCCAAAGGTGAACTTATCCTTTAAAATGAAGCCCTCCAGCGGTGTGCTCTCACAGCTGACAGGGCTTCCATCTTCACATGGCTTTTCTTCTGGTTTTGAGGGCTCCAGCACTTTGAATGGCTGAGCCACAATGACATAACTTCCATGTAAGTGCATGGGAGTCACAGCTACGACACACCGAGCTCTGAAGGGACGGCATGAATATGAGCCGGTGACAGTGAAAATCTCCTAATAGGTGCACGTTTAGGAGATATACACTATACCTATTTTTTTTTCAGGTGGAACTCTGCTTTAATGCATTCCATTTATTAAAGTAAAAAAATTTCCACTGTTTGTATCACCCCTCACCCACCTGTATATTTACCTGAGTCCAATCTCGATCCAATGCTGTGCCCATCTGCAGCAACTCTCTCCTCTCTCTCTTTGCTCACAGAGGCAGCAACGGGAACTACTGGTTCCTGCTGCTGTATATCGATTCCTGTGAACAGAGAGCAGTGGTGGAGCTGAGCTGCACCGTGTGTGTCAATAGACACACACATCCTGGCTTAAGATCAAGCTCACGGATTTGCCCGCATACAAAGTAACTTATCATGGGTGCACACAAAGAAGAGGAGGAGCTAAAAGTGCCAGCAAGGGACTCAAGAAGTGGAGTTTCAGGACTGCTCTATGCAAAACCATTGCTGACATTGAGCAACGGATGATCTGATCGCTGATCCCCACTGAGCAGGCAGATGGCTGCTCTGTGTCCACTCGATCCCCATCCATCCGTTTCTAGTGAATCGGATCAGATTGGATGTAGGTAGGTGTAAACGGACACATGTCCATTTACACCTGCCGCTCCATAGAGGACAATGGAGGGTCCGATCAGTCCACTCGTGTGAAAGGGACCATAGAGAGTGAGCCTGTTCCACTAGCTCACAATGGTGGCATCAGGTGCCGAGCCTAAAAGTATTATCGTTCTGATATCAATTTGCCCAGTGATAATCCACTAGAGCAATTTAAGGCACCATATGGCAGTGAATCCGCCCCAACGGTAGCCTGCAAGGGGGTTATTGAAGCCAGTGTTGGACTGATGGGTATCTGCTGCATTGGTAGAGGAACACCTGAGGACCTCTCACTGAACTGTACAGCCTCGTTCACACCATACGTGCAGAAAAACTGATGGAAACTGACACACACATTTCACTTGCAGAAACATCAGTTTTAATCTGTGTTGCAGATTCCTACATAGAAAAAATCTGCATGTCATACTAGTTTTGTGGTGTGAACCGGACATATAGAGAACAATTTACTTTGTTGTGCCCTTGCAGAACACATGTAAAAACTGACATCTCTGCACCGTGGTGTGAACGAGCCCTAAAAGTTATAAATGGTACAAAAGAAACTATGGAACTTTTAATGTGCCAGTATGGAGCATTACATCATCATAAACTAGTGTAAGAACACATTGATTTTATTGTTATATGTTTCACAACATATATTCATTAACCCCTCCACGCCTAAGGGTAAAACAAATCTTAACACCTAAGCACAATCTTGCAACGTTGACATGTGTTAGTAAAACCGTACATATCATCACAACTACTTTGTACATCCAGGTAGATTATCAAACTGGATAACTGTGTGTGCTCTCCAGTGCTCCAGGAAATAAAATGCCAAAGGGAGACCAAGGGAACCAGCAGGGGTGGCCTAAAGATAATGCTTCAGGGATGCAGCCCTCCTCAGACGAGGGAAATATCCAGGTGGATTATACCTTGGTTTTTTTCAGGACAAATTGGGCTTTCATTTGGTGGTAAATGGTAATGGAAATCTCCTGATTTTTTTTTTATTAGCAAAGGAATACTGGCCCAAAAAAGTAAAAAAAAATTAGATTTTATTTTTTAATCTAGCTGTGTGTTTCTTGTTACTACCATAACCTACCACCAAAGAACAACCCAAAATAAATTTTCCAGCTCTTGACGATTGCAAATAACATACACATATGTGTATGTTATTTGTTGTTTGTACCCACAGTACAGCCCAGAAACAATAGTGTGCATTTTGTTTTTTGGGCTTTATTTTTTTATCTAAAGCACACTGACACTGATACCAAATAAAAAAAAAAATCCTGACCTTTGACCCAAACACTAACCCTAGCACTGAACTAGATCAAACCTTGATCTATGTATTTTTTCTTTTCTTTTTTAGTATTTATTTATCTTTTTTTTTTTAACAGTTTGGTTTTTTTTTTTCCTCTATGCAAGGAGAGAGAGAGAGAGAGATACAATTTATCTCTCTCCTCCATTCATAGTAAAAAAAAACAAGGGGGGCAGGCTGTACAGTGATTGATCACTGTGATAGCCAATCAGAGGCTATCACTGCGATCACATGACCCTGAATCGGGAGTCCTAGGTCCCGATAGTTAGAACAGGACCTGGGGCTCTCAGTGACACCCCGGTCTTTGTGCTCAGAGCGCACTGTGCGGTGCGCTCCCAGCACAAAGACAGGTACATAAATATGCGGCCCCACGGCAAAAAGCCCAGTTCTGTGAGGCCACATATTTGTGTTACGTCGGAATGAGGGGTTAAAAAAAAATTCATGCCACAAGCCTTAATAAGGCTGTTTTTTTAAACATCTCAAAAAGTGTACACCACATATTTTCAATCATATGTATGCATCAAGGTTCATCGTTTGTCCTAATTCCCCCACCATCAGCATTTCTACACTTCATTAGTTCATTATTGTTCAATATACATAAGAAAAGCATTTCATTGTTTTGTGTGCTGATCAGCTTGGGGTAGGTTGTTATGGCAATTACTCAACAAGTTTCGTGTGTAATGAAGCCCACTTCCTCAGGTTCTGTGAAACAAAAAATTGACTGTTTATGCACTGGGGAACACCAGCCTCATCAAACCTGCCAATCAAAAAGAGAAATGAATGTGTGCATATATACTTTGATAGTCATGCACCGCTTCAGCAACCACAGTACAGGTCCCCACAGAAAGCAAACCAGGGAAGAGGGGAAATAAACACAATGTCAAAATGTGTTTTATGAGAAGGTTAGGCAATCTGCAAGAAAAGTTAAAATTGAACTAAAAATGAGTGTTTGAACATTATAATGATCCAAAGCAAACTAGTATATGCAGCAAAAATTGGTTATTAAAATAACAAAAAAAAAAACAAAAAACTTAGGGTTATAGATTGCTCTAGTCAATACCCTGATTTGATTCCCATGTAGATTGTTTTACTGAAAACTTACAAGACTTTACATGATCAGCTCAGAGTGTTTTCCACATATACAGTATATCAAAACACACCAACTTTCTTACAGATATGAATATATTAGACTTGAAGGGGATTCATTGTTTTTTTAGGCTTTGTTCACACATGCAGCCAAACAAGACAATTGAGTGGCAGTTTTACTGGCCCCTGACCGCCTGCCGGAACACGGACATGCAGCTGCTCAGGAGTGTACACATGCCACTGTGCTTTGCAACCCTGGAAAAAATGAAACTGCATGTCACAAACATGTCTAATGCAGGTCTATGGATCTGCGTGTAATTGCGGCACGGTAGTGCAGCATTTACAGGGTTAAAATCGGTGGTATGGAGATGATATATCACCTCCTCACTGCCAGTCAAATGCCCTTTGAAAAGCAATTCACCACAGATCGCTCTTCAGGGGGCATTGATCAAACAGTTTATTAGTTTTACCTTTTTGATACATTTTGGAACAGGGAAGCAGAGACACCAAGAAGCTGTCATATATAGAAGTAGCAGAAATATTGCTTCTATATATGTTGTGCGGCTCCCACCAACGGAGAGGTTGAGCAAGCTAAAGTTCAGTCATTTATCTGGATGCACAAACAGCTAAAGCTTGGTCTGAACCTGGGTTTGGACCAAACAGTCTGCTCATCTCTAGTTA